TCAGCTTTCCTGCTCCTCTGATGCTGTTTGGCCTGCTGTGTTCATCCAGCTCTACACCTTGTTATGTCAGATTCTCCAGCATCAGCAGTTCCTACTACCTCTCAAACCAAGTGCAGTTTTCAGTTTCTCGGTAATTCGTCTTAATTAAAATTTCACAAGCATCCTTCACACTGGACTGTACAGTGAATCAGTACAGAGGCACTGAATCAATACGGGGTAATTCCCTTTCAGTTGGCAGTCAATATAATTGGGTTTGATGAGCAAAGAAAAGATTGAACTGTTGTTCAGATTCATGAATTTATGGAATCAAATTTTGGTTTTCACACAGCATGCCATATGGGCCACTGAATTCATGATGGCTCTCTGCATGAATAACTGTTATTCCCACTCCTTTGTTCTTTCCCTGTAGCCTTGCAAATCATTTATCTTCAGGGGCATACTCGATTTCCAAAGCCATGACTGAATCTGATTTACTGGTTCCATCCGATACTTTCTGCTTCAAAATGCAATATGTCCACAGCAGAAATTGCTGAGGAAAAGTAAAGCAAGAATTTGAACTCCACAAATCCTGGAGGAACAGTGACAATTGAAGATACTGACAATCATCTTAAATGGGGAGGGGCAATTGTAACATCAACAGTTCCCATAATGACTATAAAGAAAGAGAGAAAACTATATCTAGATTGAACTTCCAAACTCTATCAGAGATGTACAGACTAAACTGATCTGACTACAGTGATAAACATGGACAGAACACTAAGGACAGATTGGCGCTAGTGTCCCACTGAAGTTTTTTTTACTCACTCGTGGGATGTGGGTGTAACTGGCTGGGCCAACATTTATTGCCTGCCCCTAGCTGCCATCGAGAAGGTGGTGGACAGCTGCCTTCTTGAACCACCAGTCCACATACAATAGGTTAACACACAAGGGAGGGAGTTCCAGGATTCTGACCCAGTGTCAAAGAAGGAACTGTGATATATTTTCAAGTCAGGATGATGAGTGGCTTGGAGAGGAACTTGCAGGGGGTGGTGTTACCGTGTACCTGCTGTCCTTGGCCTTTTGGAAAGAAGTGGTCATGGGTTTGGAAGGTGCTCCCTGTGGGGCTTCTCTGAATTTCTGCATTGCATGCCGTAGATAGTGCACACAACTACTGAGCACTAGTGGTGGAGGGAATGGATGCTTGTGGATGTGGTGCCAATCAAGCGGGCTGCTTTGTCCTGGATGGTGTCAAGCTTCGTGAGTGTTGTCAGAGCCACATCCATCCAGGCAAGTGGGGAGCATTCCATCACACTCCTGACTTGTGGCTTGTAGATGACAGACAGGCTTTGGGGAATCAGGAGGTGACTTACTCGCCACAGTATTCCTAGCCTCTGACCTGCTCTTGCAGCCACTGTGTTTATGTGGCAAATCCACTTGAAGTTCTGGTCAATGGCAACCACAAGGATGTTGATAGTGGAGAATTCAGTAATAGTAATGTCAGTGAATGTCAAGCAACAGTGGTTAGATTGCCTCTTATTGGAGATGGTCATTGCCTGGCATTTGTGCAGCATGAATGTTACTTGCCACTTGTCAGCCCAAGCCTTGATATTGTCCAGATCTTGCTACATTTGAACACGGACTACTTCAGTATCTGAGGAGTCATGAATGGTGCTGAACTTTGTGCAATCATCGGCAAACATCCCCACTTCTGACCTTATGATGGAGAGGAGGTCATTGATGAAGCAGCTGAAGATGTTTGGGCCTAGGACACTACCCTGAGGAACTCCTGCAGCTATGTCCTAGACCTGAGATGACTGACCTCCAAAACTCACAACCATCTTCCCATGTGACTGGTATGACTCCAACCAGCGGAGAGTTTGCTTCTTAATACAGATTGATTCCAGTTTTGCTGGGACTCCTTGTTGCCACACCCAGTCAAATGCAGCCTCGATGTCACAGCAGTCACTCTCACCTCACCTCTGGAATTCAGCTCTTTTTTCCATGTTTTAACCAAGGCTGTAGTGATGTCAGGAGCTGAGTGCACCTAGCAGAACCCAAACTGGGCGTCACTGAGAAGGCTACTGCTGAGCTATAGCACTGTTGATGACAACTTCCATCGTTTTACTGATGATTGTGAGTAGACTGTTGGTACAGTAATTGTCCTGGTTGGAATTGTCTGCTTTTTATGTACAGTATATACGTGGGCAATCTTCCACATGGTAGATGCTAGTGTTGTAACTGCATTAGAACAGTTGAATGAATTTTTTAAAATGTTACAGGAGTCCACGAAGCTTTTACAATAGGGAAGAACGAGCCTCTGAAGGCAAAAAATTGAGCTCCCATCATCCATGGTTCCATCTCTCAAACTCTTGAATCCATTACTCTGCAAAATATTCACACAAACACACTCTTCATACTCCAACTGCCTTCTACAAAAACACTGAAACTAAGCTGCTGGTCAGAGTTCCATACTGAGAATTCTAGATGGCATGATGCAAATTGCAAGAAAACAGAGTGAAGATAAAAGAAAAATTAAACTTCAAAAGTGGCCCAGTTAGATAGTTTGGCATGTCAGTTCATGTTGCCAACGAAATTGCTGATGTTGGGAACTGTTATGTTCAATGTCTCAAACATCAAACTATTTGAGGCACATTTTTGGTAAACTAGTATTCTTGCAATCCTCCTTCAAACACAAAAAAACATTCAGAGCTTTCCAAACACTTACTTTTCCCTTTCTTCAATTTCTTTCTGTCGTTCCAGCTCACGCTGTCGTTGTCTGTCCTCGCGCTGTCTTTTCACAACTTTCTCATAGTCATTTGGGTACATGGGGTCATACTCATCAGCCAATGGGATCAAAACCTCTCCTGTAGAGAATCCACTTGGTACCGGATCCTTGGAAAGAGTAGCAATAGTTGATATGTTAAATACTAAAGCAAAACAGTACCTGATTTTATACACAAGACCCTCCTCAGATAGGGATATATTCTGCCACGGTCATAAATGAAGAGTCAAAGAACTGAATCACAGAATTATTACAGCCAAGAAAGAGGCCACTTAGCCCTTTGCATCTAGGCTGACTCTCTGCCAGAGCAATTCACCTAGTGTCACTACCCCATTTTTCCACTTAACCTTCAAATATTTCCTCCTTACGTGATGATTCAAGACCTTTTTGGAAGCCATAGTTGATTCTGGCTGCGCAATGCTCTCAGGTGGATTGAGACGCATTTGAGATCCTACCTACTCAATGAGTAAAAGGTTCTTTCTAATGTTGCCATTGCTTCTTTTACCAATCACCTTAAATTGGCATCTTCTGCTTCTCGATCCTTCCAACAATGGGAGCTGTTTCTCCCCTCTATCCTGACCCCATCTGATTTTGGAATATCACCATCAAATCTTCTCCTCTCTGAGCAAAATAGTTTTGTCCAATCTATGTCACTGATCCGCCTCACCTGTGTGACCATCTCGTGAATCTTTTCAGCATTGTCTCTCTCTAATGCCTTCAAGCCTTCCCTAAAGTGTGGAGCCCAGAAATGAATAAAGCCTTTTACTTCAGGTTGAACTAGTGTTTTAGTATAAGTGTCTTAACCAGAGATATATTATAGCTTCCTTGCTTTTGTTCTTCATGTCCCTTTACAAAGCACGTTCACACAGTAACTGTGGTCTTTATTTGCCCTCACACTTTCAACAATTTGTGTCCATATAACCCAGATCTCTCAGTTCCTGCAACTTCTTTAGAACTGTATCCCTGATTTTATATTGTCTCTGTTCTTCCTACTGAAATGAATCACTTCACTTTTCTCTGCATTAAATTTCATCTGCTAATTGAGCAACCCATCCGTCAAACCTTTTGAAATTTAACATTATCCTCCTCACAATTCACAATACTTGCAAAGTTTGCGTCATCTGCAAGTTTTGAAATTCTACCCTTTACACCAATGTCTAGAGCATTTAACTAAGATTAGCTGGTGGGCCAGTGAGAGCTTTCTAAACACAACCACCTCGGAGCTAGAGTCAAAGCTTTCAGATCAGTACCGCACAACATTCGTAAAAACAGAAATTTTCAATAAATATTTCACTTCACCTGCTGGGATCAAAATCAAATCATATCATTCTGATAAGATCATAGTTATGGAAGAATACTTCTCTATTTTCTAAACAGAAATGCCACATCTTAATTACTGCTACTGATTTTCTGACAGGCAATCATTTTTACAAACGTTTCAGTTCTGAAAAGTGAAATGCCACATCATTTCCACTTGTTATAAGGATGCTATTTATGATATTATAACTTGGCTCAATTACATGTTGCATGACCTCACCCTCCACTTCCAGACTTTTCAGTATTAATTCTGATTTCCAGAATTTGCGGTTTTCCTTTTAAACTCAAACCACTTACTAACCTGTAACCATGTAACCTGTACTTGTAGATTACAGGTAACCCTTTAAAAAGCAAATCAAAGAAACCAATGCACAATTCTTTACTTCAATTCAAAGTAAAATGTAATTCAATTACTCTCTGTTGGCCGATGTGAGCCAGGTTGCTGACTTCATGCTGAATGACTAAAGAAGGACCCAATCATTCTTGACAGCTCTGATTCCAATTGCCATCTAACCATGACCATCAGCAAGGCCTTGGTAATCTCCAGAGTTACTTGGGAGAGGTTCCAGAGATTTGTTGAACTGTGGCAATATATCTGCCACCACTACAGTTTTACAAAGAGCCACGGGAAAGAGTCAAAAGCTACCTGCTTAAGCTGAACGTGAATATTGCTAAAACAGAAATAGACACGTTGTTGAATTTTGTGTCTTGCACTCATCACGAAAGACACAAGAATGCCAAATTGCAAAGGGAATGACAATTTAAACTGCATGAGAAAAGAGGCAGATTAGTTAGCAAGTAGACTCGGATTGGCGGATGCAATGCCAGGAATGTAGGCCACACATTCCAACTACTGAGATTCAAAACGTTACCTCTGTTTCTCTCCCCACAGTCGCTGGTAGACCTGCTGAGTTTCTCCAGCATTCTCTGTGTTTGTCTCAAAGTGCTAATTTACACTTGGTAGAAACTAGATAGATTCATATCTATCCCCTAACTTATCCCCTAACAGCAGAAAGAACATGTCCACAAATTGCATCTTTTTCGAAATTAACAATAATTTCCCATTGTATACTCTGTGGCAATCTGCTGACCAACCAGTCAAATTGCTAAACGACCAACCCGTGTGGAATTCTTGCTTCTGTCCTTGTGAATTACGAGACCAAAATTGTCAGCAAATAAAATGTTCAAAACCAGTAAAAAACATAATTCATGAAATCCTGAAGAGATTCTTACCTTTAAGCCAGATGCTATATGAGGTGGTGTGTCAACAATCTGCCTGTCATCCCCAGAGGTGCCTCGCTTGAGGTCTATAACTGGAGCTAAAACTGTGCTCTGCTTTGAGCGCTGGGTCTAGAAGCAATAGCAGACATGAATTAGAACCAGTGTCAGTTTCTACCAAAAGAACAAAGTCTTCCAACTGAAAAGATAGTAAACTCAAAAAGAAAATAACTCTTTAATAAATCATCCCACCACAAGACATTAACAGTAACATATCTCCTGCTGATAAACATTATCAGAAACAGAAATTCGCAGACGATAAACTGTGTGAATAACCAGTAAGTGATAAAAGTTATTCAGACTTGTTCATCACAAACAGATCATTTTGCTTTTTAAAATAATTCTTATCTTCTTCACCCTTCAACAATATTTGCACCTTGCTTCAGCCATAAAAGGGGGGAACGGGGTGAGTAGCCAATATTTCCAATCATTATCCATCTTCCAGGATTTTGGAACAGAAACAAACTGATCATTAACTTTTCCTTCATCTCAGTCGCAAAGTGCTGGATGAAGATCAGGCACCAGCAAAGACTGGAAGCATCGTAAGCCAAAACACACAGCCTTCAGTTCTCAGGGTCGTTTCACCTGAGCTGTTATATCGAGTATGGAGTGGGCATTAGTAACAAGAGGAGGACAAAGAATCCACAATGGATTGCAGCACATTTTAAGGGAAGATCTCAAAAGCTGAATGCAGGAGAAGTTCTCTGCTCACACAAGGAAGTGCACAACACAGATTGGTTGAGGAAAATACCTCTGAGGGAGTTTGCCCAACAGTTGGCCTTCCTGTACGAAAATGTGACCGAGTTTCCATTATTTAGCAATATTACTGTACTTCGAGCCTGGCTTGTAAATAAAGAGGTGAAAAATAAAAAATATTACCTTTGCTTGTGTAAGTGTTGCTTTCTTCACCTGCAGCTGAGACTGAAGGAGTTTGAAATTTTTTGACCAGCCCTCTGTCTTTGAGTCGCTGGTCTCAACCCCCAAATCATCGTACAGGGACATTTCACCTTCCCTTCACGGCTGCAATAAACAGGAAATAAAATCACACTTTCGTAAAGTGACAAATTCATTAAGTAAGCAACTCCAACATCTTCAGAGTTTTTTTTAAAGCAACATTTCAGCATTCAGACAGCATTTCACATTCTACTCCTCTCCTACAAATTCGAGTGATCTTTTTGAGGCCCTAGCAGAGAAAGGAAGAGTTTATTTATGGTTAACATTTACTTGTGTGAAAAACAACAATGCAAACCAGCAGGAGTCAATTCACTACTGAGTGGTTTGGGGGAGAAAAGCAGAAGCAGATGAGAACATGAAGGAAAAATAATACATTTGTTTTAAATCTAAATAAAAACACAAAGCTTCAGAAGCACCCAGCAAATTAATGTAATTGATCAAACAAACAAAAAAGTTGCCTGTGGTTTTAGCAACAATCTGAACTAAAATACATTACAGATAAAAAAAACATTAGACGGAACATCACAATAAAGAAAAGGGAAGGGAGAGAAAATGCCATGAGCATAAATGCAGAATAACACAGAAACTGTAATTGTGGGAATCAGAAAACGATTAAAGTTTAGAAATGAGGTGCATATGCAACCAGAGAAACACAGAGAATTGGAAGAGTTAATGGAGGAAATCAATAAGTGGAATGGGAGGTACTTGCCCCTGGGTCACAAAGTCTTGGATTCAAGGCCCATCTAAAACCACATCACCCAGACAGATAATTCTCTACAACACTTAGTAACTGTATTCAAAGTGATAAAAACATCAAGTGTCAATTGATTTACTGACACCTGCAAATTTCAATCATTTTCAGATATGGCTAGCAGGTTGTGCAATTTAAGACTAAATATAAAGAAAAGTTCAATGATCTCCCAGTGGGTAAGTTGTTTTATATTCAAAGTATCCACACAGAAGAAAATGGGTTAGCGAGGTTGGCAATACTGAAGAGAGTTTGAGCATCAGGAGGTAGACTGATAGGGATTTAAAATGTCATCTAGAGAGTCTAGGTGGTGCCTCAACCCCCTACAGTTTGCCTACGACATAACAGGTCCTCAGAGGATGCCATATCCCTAGCCCTGCACTCATCCCTGGAACATTTAGACAACAAAGACACCTATGTCAGACTCCTGCTCATTGACTACAGCTCTGCCTTCAACATCATTATCCCCTCCAGACTGATCTCAAAATTCCATGACCTTGATCTTGGCTCCTCTGCAACTGGATCCTCAGCTTTCTGACCCTTAGGCTGCAATCAGTGAGGATAGGTAACTCCTTCACAATAACACTCAACACTGGAACCCCGCCCACCCCGACCAAGGATGCATCCTCAGCCCCCTACTGTACTCCCTGCACACCTATGACTGTGTTGCCAAATTCAGAACGAACGCCATCTACAAGTTCACTGACAACACCACCATAGTGGGACAGATATCTAACAACAATGAGTCCAAGTACAGAAGGGAGTAGGAGGGCTTGGTGACGAGGTACAATGAAAACAATCTGTTTCTCAATATCGGCAAGACTAAAGGACTGATTATGGACTTCAGAAAGAAAGGAGAACACGCCCCCATCTACATCAACAGAACTGAGGTTGAGAGAGTGAACAGCATCAAGTTTGTCGGAGTGATGATAACCAACAACCTGTCCTGGACTTCGCACGTAGATGCAACAGTCAAGAAGGCACAACCTGGTAATGATCTCCTACAACCTCTTCCATGAGGCAGAAGATACAGAAACCTCAACACACGCACAAGCAGGTTCAGGAACAGCTTCTTTCTGTAGGAGAGGAGTAGAATGTGAAATGCTGCCTGAATGCTGAAATGTTGCTTTAAAAAACAACTCTGAAAGTGATGAATGGACTCTACCCTCCAATAATGTAACCTGTATGTCTCCAAGTCTTTTTGATCTGTACATCCTTTGCTTGCTGTGATCTGCCTGTACCACTCGTAAACAAAGCTTTTCACTGTATTTCAGTACACATGACAATAAAACCAATCAATCAAAAATCAAACAATCAGATGAGGGAGGGACTAGATGATGATTGGGGGAAATGGATTAGAAGGAGTAGATGGGGGGGATCGATAAAGGCAGGG